CAAAAAAATTCATTCAGAACCAATAAATCTAGTATGCCATGTTATTTTTTGGAATTGATTAGTGACTATTCTAAGAATTAGTAGTTCATCTCAAAGATGTAGTTGAAAACTCAAAAACATTCAGTATTAAGCACGGCCTATTTTTATTTTATTTATTTATCATTTATATTTTTCCAACGCAAACATAGAAGTAAAACTTTCTAAATCCCTTTCACTTGTTTGGGTTTAACCGTTTTAATTGAGAGGAGGCGCAATTAGAAAACAAAAAAACTGCATTATTTCCTCTATTTCATTTATTAATGAAAAATAGCAAGGGCACTAGTAATAGGTACAAATTTTTCTTTCTGTCGCACTTAACTCCTTTCACTATTTTCCCTTAGGTGGAGGAATATTGGGGACGTGGATGTTTAGGTGTAACCTTAAAATGATATAGTAGCCATACTTGTTAACTGAAATCAAATGTGTGTACGTAAAATAATGTAAAGCGGAACGAATTTATAAGAGCATGAAAAAAGGACATTGTGAAAGTTTAGATGGATAATGGGCCCAACGAGTTAATGGTTTTGCCCAAATTAAATAGAGTTTCATTTGCGGGATTTCAGTACAGTAAACAATTTTTAGCCTATAACACCATAATATATGAAAAGATCAAGAGCCAAGTTAAGAGGCGAACAATTAACACACCTTCTTTGTAGCTTATGTGTTCACATGTTCTATTGCTTTGTTGTTCAACAGTTAGTTGAAGAAAAACTCACGTGTTCAATTTGGTTATGTAATTAAAAGATATATGATCAGCATACAATGTTAAGAAATTTTAAGGATATTAACAGATTTAAGCAATTAAATTGTGAAAAGCATTTGCCGGACATTGTTACAGTGCTTTGCCCAATTAATTGTCTTTCGTTTTATTTTTAGCACGTCCGCATTCATTTATCATCTAAAACGTACAATGGCACCCATACTCATTTAAAAACGTACGTACAAATATGTCGAAAAATTCATCTACACTTTTGGACCCTCATTTGCACGCAATATAAGTATATATAACATCAAGGTTTTCTCAATAATTATATCCAAATGAAAGAAGAAGAAGAAGAAGAAAAGATTATACCCAAATGAAATGAGACAACTTGAGATGAAAAGGAACTTCGGCTGATTTCTGTAACGATCCGCCCGGTCGTTTTATCTATTGCAATCCCGTTCCCCCATTTACTGCTCAAATTGTGAATTTCAGTTGTTATTTCGCTTGTCGGGGTAATTGGTTTGGGTCCGGTGAGGTTTTGAAATGATTTGGATCACTTAGTTCTAAGGTTTAGAATTTAAGTTAAAAATGTTGACTGGATGTTGACTTATGTATAACGATCTCGGAGAAATTTTGCTAAGGAAATTAAGGTTTGGTGGTGCTGAGATAGAAGCGAGCTGCGGCTCGGACCTTTTGGGTTGAACAATGCACCGATGTGTAAAGAAAAATTTTGTCGGAAAAAGGGTCATTTCTGCGAACACTATGCGGTCGCAGAATCACTCTGCGGACCGCATAATGGTCGCAAAGTGGATCAGGAGAGGGGCAAGATTTGAGAAAATTCTGCGGTGTACTATGCGACCGCAGACCTATTTTGCGGTGCATTATGCGACCGCAGAACAAGTATGCGGGCTGCATAATGACCGCAGACCGGGTCAATAACGCGTAGCTTTGGAGGCCAAATTATACGGACGGTATGCGGACCGCATACCTGTTATGCGACCGCATAACTGCGTCGGAGCTCCCATTCTTTCTAAATTTTGACCCGACCCAACTTCAATTTATAGTCCTTGAAGCTCATTTTTTAGCCAAAATCTGATATTTTAGAGAGAGGTGAGAGCATTTTAGAGAGAGAAACTGAAGATTTAGTCATTTATCCATCAGTTCTTGTGCAAGGTTTGAAGATTTCACAAGGATCTTGCTAGGGCTTCAAAGAGATACGAGGCTTTCGGAGATCAATTCTCGTGACAAGGGCATAGCGGAATAAAGAATTACACGGGTTGAGGTAAGTAACAGTTATAAATCTGGTCCTGAGAGTATGAAACCCCAGATTTTGGTATCATATGATTATTTTGGAGGTGACGCACATGCTAGGTGACGGGCGTGTGGGCGTGCACCGAGGGGATTGTGACTTGGTCCGTCCCGGAAAAACTGTAAAGTTGAAAACTTTGTTGTTAGCTATATGCTCTCTATGTGTTGATAAAATTTGACTGTAAATCATGTTAGAAATCATGCTTGGGCTATGTGATAGTACTGTTGGGACCCATAGAGGTTGCGTACTTGTTGAATTGCCTACTAAATACTATATGTACTCAGTCTCAGCTTTTACTTGCACATTTTATCTCAGTCTCTGTTATTATTATTGATACATCATATCATTATTGTTTGGGTTGATTTCATGATTATTGAGAGCCCGAGAGACTGGAGAGATTTATGACTGAGTGAGGTCGAGGGCCTGATTGTGAGATATTATACTATAGCACGTGAGTTGGCCGTGCAGCACGTGAGTTAGCCATACAGATCTTTATATTATACTATAGCACGTGAGTTGGTCGTGCAGCACGTGAGTTGGCCGTGCGGATCCTTATATTATACTATAGCACGTGAGTTGGTCGTGCAGCACGTGAGTTGGCCGTGCGGATCCTTATATTATACTATAGCACGTGAGTTGGTCGTGCAGCACGTGAGTTGGCCGTGCGGATCCTTATATTATACTATAGCACGTGAGTTAGCCGTGCAGCACGTGAGTTAGCCGTGCAGCACGTGTCCAAATATTTATATTATGGCACATGAGTTGTCCGTGCAGATTATAGCGCTTGGGTTGTAGGAGCCCCTCCGGAGTCTGTACACCCCCAGTGAGCGCGGGTACCCATTGAGTGTGAGTACTGAGGGCTGGGAGCCTAGTGAGTGATTGTTGTCCTAAGAGGCTGTACTTGTTTTTCAGTGGTTGATGCACCTAGTTGCTATCTGTTATTGTGGTGAAATTTTTGAAAGATTCTATATCCAGATTATATGTACTTGAATTGTATAAAATTGATTTGACTTAAACTGTCAGGATTTGAAAGCATGTCTATTCTTTGCTGGAATTACTGAAAGTGAACTATAATTATGTAGCTCGTCATTATCTTTAATTTCTTAGTAATTATTGTTACTTGCTGAGTTGGTTGTACTCATACTACACCCTGCAATTCGTGTGCAGATTCAGGTATTATCGAATATAGCGGGTATTGATTCTTCCGTACAGTCGATATTTCTGAGATTCAGAGGTAGCTACCGTGTTTCGCAGACGTTGTCTCTCCTTCCCTATCTCTGTATTACTGTATTTTGGTCTTAGACTATTGTAGACCGTACTTTTCCAGACTTGTATTCATATTAGATGCTCATGTACTCAGTGACACCAGGTTTTGGGGAGTGGTTGTATCAGTATTTGTGGGATTTCGTATTGTATTGACTTATTATATTTCCAAACTTGAAAGAAATTGTGGATTATGGATATTATCGGCTTGCCTAGTATCGATATAGGCGCCATCACGACATGTTAGAATTTTGGGTCGTGACAATTTTCGACCCATCAGATATACTGCACTTGGAAGGCATTGCTCCAACTCCCCCTAGGTTGCCTCTGATTAAGTTAGCTTGCAAGCATCTCAACTAATTTTAGGGTATACTTGTTACCTCTTATTAGTATAAGTTAAAACTTGTAGAAAAAATCACTTATTATTTTTATCTCCGCTAAAATTTGAGCCTAAACCTCATAGTTCTCAATCAACTTCTTTATACTAATTTTGATTGAATATTTTTTGTTTGAAGAATTAGTAACTTTTTAGCAAAGGCACAACAAAAGCGGCTTATCTCAAAATCAAACTCTCTTTGTGCACTTTATATGACACTACCTAGTTTGCAAGTCCATAAGCTTTTCCTTCTTCTTTTTTTTATTTTACCAAACAGCTTTTTATTTTATCACAAAGCTTTCGTATATTTTAAAATATTTTTAGTTATAAAAGTATATAATTTATTATATTCTTTGTATAGTTCTTAATTTTGTAAATTTATTTTTAATATACTAAGAAGTTGATGTCAAAATAGAGAACAAAGATTAAGGGGGCGTTTGGACATAAATATTATAAGATTCCGAAAAAAGTTATTTTTTTTAAAAATGAAAATGATATTTGAAAATTAGAGTTGTATTTGGACATGAATACAATTTTGGACTGTTTTTAAATTTTTGTGAGTGATCTGAAATGAAAATTTTGAACAAAATTTTTTTTTTTGAAGTTTTTCAAATTTCCGTAAAATTTCGAAATTTATTTTCAAGCGAAAATCAAAAAAATTATTTGACAAACACTGATTTCGAAAAAAAAAAAATAAAAACAATTCGAAAAAAAGTGAAAAAAACATTGTATGGATAAACGGGCCCTAAAAGGTTTGACCCTTGTAAGTACGAGTCCCTTCGTACTTCTGAAAATGGAGAGTACTTGTCAATCGAGCCGCTCTAATGGACTCATGGGATCGTAGAATATTGAAGTTAGTGCCGTTTGAACATTAAATATTATTTCAATATTTATAGATAGTACCTGATTTGCCATCAATATTTGTAAATACTGAATTTAGATTTTGGATTTTTTTGAAGTAGTAAAATATTTGTTTAAAGAGTATTTCAAGTAAAATATTTCACTAAAAAACTGTTTTTGTTAAATTTTATAAACTTGATTTTCGAATATAACTTCAAATGTTCTTTTTCACTTCAACCTTAAATAACGTTTTTTTTCAACTTTAACCCAATGTTATATCCAAACAACCTATATCATGGTCACATATATAACAATCCATGAAGTGTGTTAGGTGCATGTAGGGTGGCTGAAACGAATCCGCAAGCCCATAACATTGTGTTAGGACGAAGTTAAAGAAAATGGCACAAACATAGAAGAAAAACTTTATAAATCCCTTGTACTTGTTTGTGTTTTGATAGAGAGAAACGAAATAGGAAAACAAGAAAACTAAGTTCTTTCCTTTTGCTTCATTTATTAATGAAATAACAAGAACACAAGAAACAGGTACAACTTCGTCTTTCTTCAACACTTAACTCCTTCGACATATTTTCCTTCCTATCTTTCTAATTTCCCAAGTTACTTTTTGCAAGGCACCTTCTTTGAGGGTTCGAAACCAAAAGGCCCAACAGTGAAGACATCATATGTGGGGGGTTTTACAGGGAGAGAGCTAGCTGCTGGTGGCTTGGGAAGTGGGGTGTATTTCAACAAAGCACCAGATTTTCCACCATTGTAATCTGTTGGGACATCGCAATAAGTATTGTTTGATGAGACCAAGAACACCTTGCATTTGTGGTAAGCTCCTGAGGACAAGAGTTTGGGCATGATCCAGAAGAAACCATTCTTGTCTGTCTTGCCCTGTTCCACTAATGTCTTCTTTGTGTTGTTGCATACTAGCTTCACTACCGCTCCTGCAATGACATCATATCCAAACAATCAGTATCCCTTAAGGTGGCGAAAACGGAATGTTATAACGTAAATAAAAATGTTACAATATCATGTCACCTAAAAGATAACTATATATAATTACCCATAATTATAAGTGTCAATAAGGAGGCAGCCTACTACAACAGATTGATGGTGTGTAGAAATTACTTACAGTGTCAATGTGTCATGGTATATATTTAAATCTATAATTTCGAGGGTAAATAACTACTGTTCAGTGTGCACATAAGATATGTATTAGTACATTCTATATGACTATATTAATAGCTATACCAACATCAATACTCTCAAATCAAAAGACAAAACAAATTCAGCTCAAAATACTAAGAAATCGTTAGAAACATATGTATTAGTTAAAGTTTGATGTGGTAGAGTTTTGAAAATCGAAAAATGACTACTCTTTTTGGCAAAATGCCTTCTCCGTCGGAATGCATTATTAGCCTTTCCTATAGTATAAAATCTCGCCAAATATCTTTTGCGACATTGAATAGGGCATATTATGAGCTCCTTGGTAAACCGCAAAGTAAAATGACATAAGTAATATATATAATACTCCTTGATATGTTCATGAATTGCATAAAATGTTAACCAAAATAAAATGAAGTACTAAAAAAGAAGGATATTGAACAAACCCAGGAGTGGGGAAGCTTGGTTTAGAGTTTTAACCCCTCTAAACTTGCACGGTTTGCAGTAAACAAGGCCACGTACAGCTACAGGTTTCCTAGTAATAGGAGCAGGATAAGGTGATGGTGTTGGTGGTTTAACTGGTGGCTTAGCTGGTGGTTTTGATGGACTATAAGTGGGAGGCTTAGTTGGTGGTTTAACTGGCGGCTTAGCTGGTGGTTTTGATGGACTGTAAGTGGGAGGTTTAGTTGGTGGTTTTGAAGGAGTATAAGATGGTGAAGGGGCTGGGGAATATTTGGGGTGGTGGTAGCCTTTGTGAGCTTTAGGGGCTTCAGCTGGTGGAAAGTGGCCATGATGTTTGTCTATAAACCAACCCCCAATGCCTTCCTCCTGGCTAAGAACTACTGTGAATGAGCTAAGTAATAAAACTGAAAGCTGAAAAAGAACAAGGGCCTTTGCCATTGTTGCTAATATTGTGTGTGTGTGTGTAAAAGAGAAGTGAGAGGGATGAATTTATAGGGGCAGAACTAGTCGGTAAGTACGTACCTGAACTGGCAGGAGGTAACAAATACTTCTTGATAGATTAATGCACATAAACTGATCCGGATACACAACAATTATTAAAAATGATATACGTACTGGGGCTTGAACGAGTGGTCTTTAATATTATTTTGACTACATAAAAAAGATTATAGTATGATATCTATTCTGACCTTAGTTAAATGTGATCCATAAGACAAGGGTTTCAGTTAATTAATCTCCATTGAAGCTAGATTCTAGCTAGAGAAGTCGTAACAAGGGAAGACAAGTGCTTAAATGCTGCACATGCTGGGACGGAAGGCCGTGTAGAAGTTTCCTATGCAATGAAGTTTGTTCAATGCATATTCTACAAAAAAATAAACAAAAAGGGGAAAAAAGGAAGACCTTGTTCATGCAATGTTTTCCTCTTTATTTCCCTCTGAATATAGTAACGTGATATACTATGTCCATTGTTGTTAATTCGCCGTGCTTGGTCTGGCCACTTAAGTTCCTAATTTAATCAGAATTCTCTATCATATCAACTTACTCAGAATGGAATTTTCCATAAAATAATCTATCGTTTTAACGAGATTACTTACTTTTTAATATCGACGAAGTTGATATCTTAATCTTTCTCTTAACACTACTAAAAATCTGCTAAAAACCGACCAAATATTTCCGACCAACGTTGGTCGGTCAAAAAAAGGACCAAAAACCGTCCGGGTTGGACGGAAACTGGGAAAAAAAATTACATTTTTTTAAAATTAAATACCGACCAACGTTGGTCGGTAAATTGGTCAACGAATTGACCCAGCTGGTCAGACAAGAAAATTTTGGATTACCGACCAACGTTGGTCAGTAATCTAGATCCAATTTTTAAAATTTTAATAATTATTTTATTTTTTAAAATGTTTTATAATATTTAAGAATTTATATTTAAAA